AATGTCCTGGTGACCTGCAGCGTTGCTTGGGTTGGTTCCTCTCCTGTCCACCTTTTCTAGCGCTCCTGCAGCTCTTACTCGCCTTGGGTCAGCCCAGTGCCCTGTGCTTCCCAGGGGCTGGAGCTGGGCTGAGTGCGTTAGGAAGGCTCTCGTGCCCATACAAGGAGAGATTCAGCTTGTTGAGGTTTGTGGAGCATTGACAGCAAGCAGTTACACAGTGGGGAAAGGAGGATGAGGAGGGGCAACTTTGGTCTGCAGCATTTAACTGCTCTGCTTTGCAGGACTAGGGGCATTTCTGGGTCTTGGCTTCCTGAACTCTGGGTACTCCATTGGAAAATATCCCTCCCCACCATGGTAAAGGAAACAGGACCATCCTGCTGGGGCTGCCTGTGGAGCTCGGTGGCCTGCAAGGAAGTTTTGGTGGACACCCAGAGAAGGGATGCGATGGTCCCTTTTCTGAAGCTGCATTTTTTTTTTGTTTCGACACTCTTCTTTCTGGCAGGGACAGGATGAATCATGCTGCTGTGAATCAAGGTCATGTTTTTCTTTCTGGCTTACATAGCCAGGCACCAGGTCAGCAGTGAAAGGAAAATCAACAGGTGCCTGAGCAGCCACAAGCTAACTATTTAGTGGACAGAAAGGACCCGGGATGTTTTGTAATGCAGCTGGCTTCACACAGCCAAATATTCCTGTTGTTGCTGCGGCTTGTGTCATGCTGTAGCTCTGAAACACATGGGGAACTTTGTGGCAGGGTCAGCTGGTGAGATTGGCAGGTCATGCTGGTCCTGAATGGCGCTCACCAGAGCGGGCGCTCCAGCTGCGAGGCTGGGAGAGACCCAAGCACATGTTGGCCAGAGGCAGCTGGTCCCACTGGTTCTGGTACCGCACTGCGCGGGTCCCAGTTAGCCTGGGACTGCCATCGACTGGCACCTGAATGCTGCATGCAATGTGTTTTCTGAAACAGGGGCTAATAGCTCACAGCCATGTATGTTTCGCAACACAAGGTAAGTGAGCTGTAAAAATAAATTATTCTTTTTTTTTTTTTTTAATTCTATTTAGAATAATCAAAGCTTATTCTAAAACACCCATTTATAACCCCCTAGAAAGACTGCAAGTTGCTGAGCACTGCTGGGACAGTCCCTCATCAGTCTATTCCCCTTGGTCCCAGGTGGCAGAATGCAGCCTGGCTCTGAGACATGCAGAGTAGCAGGTGCTGGGATGGACTGTCTGGGAGACTGCTCTCATACTTTGAGCTCTGCTTTTGGCTTCCAGAGGAGCCAGTGATGTCCTGGTGCCTTTTTCTGGAGGCCCTCCTCCTGCCTTCCATCATCTGGGGCTCACCCTAGTTTCATGGGCACTGCAACACCCAAAGATCAGATACTCATCATCCCATAGCCCTGCCGTGGGTCCAAGAAATGAGCTCCCTTCCACAACCCTGCTGATCCCAGTAGAAAGAACATCTGGGAAAGCCTCAGGATCATGCTGGAGGACAAATAAATATCGTTGTACCTGGAATAACTTCTTGTCACACCAGCAGAGAGAGGTTGTTGCCAGCTGGGCGGACTGGAACGCAGCTCGTAGCCGAAGTGGGCAGCAAGCAGCCGGCTCTCCCCCTTTCCCTTCAGTCTCACACGTGATTGCAGCATGGAAGCAATTGTTTTTGGACTTGGCCTGGAAGAAGACCAAGTTGTGCTTTTGTTGCTTTCCCATGTTTTTTTTTTCCCTACAAAAATTGTTTAATCTGACTGACCACTTTTTTGGATCGTTTGCGAAGTTTATTTTAAGTCCTTTATGTGCTAATGTGCTGCTGTGCCAGAAACCCTGCGCCCTTAGGGTGGTTTATTCTTTTTTTTTTTTTCTTTTTTTTTTTTTTTACTATGTCAATGCATATTGGCAAAGTGAATCAACTTCTTCAAAAGGAAATTAATTTGCTTCCTGCCTTTACATGTTTGGCTCCCATTTTAGGGAGGAAGAAGGCGTTCCAAAGGTCACAAGGAATATAAATAGCATAAGATGCAGTAAAATACCTATCTGCCTTCAGTCCCTGAGATTCTTATTGTACAAGGGTCAAAAGTCACCCAAGATGTCCACTTACAGGGGACAGGGTGTTTGCTGGGTACAAGTGGGATTTGTAGGGTACAGGTGGGATTGCTGCTAGAGGGATGTTGATCCATTTGGGCTAATTCAGCATTCACCTGGATGCTGTGTAGCTGGGCAGCCCTGTGCTGGTTGGAGTCGGGAAAGCTGGGAAAGCGAGGCGCACGGCGAGGGGTTTGAACGACAGGCCTGCCAACACACTGTTTGTAGGAGCAGCTTTACTGCATAGATGAGTTGCTGTCCACCCTCGCTTCCTCTTAGGGCTGTTCAGGACTGCGTTTGTGGCCCCTTATCTTCCCCATGAAGCTCGTCATTGCTAATCTCCTCTGCAGAGCCACACAAGGGGTGACTTGCAGGTCTGCCTCCCTTCTCCCAGCTCCTCCTGTCCAAACCACAGTTGTGGCTGCTCTGAAATTTCCTTCTGGCTGTCCGGCCATCAAGTCATGCTCAGAATGGCTTTAAAAATGCGTCTAACTTGTCCTCTTGTATTGCAGGAGCGTTACTCGGTCCTGCGCTCTTCAGTTCCCAAGTTGCCCTCTAGCTTCACTTGTTCTTGCTGTTTGGGTCTCCCAGATGCTTCAGGTCATATCTCTAATTTATCTTGCTTAACAGTCCTCGTAGTTGAAATTCCTGGCCAGGCTCTTATCTGTTGCTGCAGCATCTTCCCCTCCATTCTTGTCCAGCTCCGTGTCCCATCACAGGCATCTGCAGAACACGCTGCTACCGTAGCTCTGACCACCCCAGCCATGTTGCTGTTCCTTGCCTGGATTTGCCATCTCCCCCTTCTCTTTCCCATTTCAACAAAAGTTGTCTGCGCTTCTCATCCTGTCCTCACCCCTCTGCTGTGTTTCGCTGTACATCCCTCATGTTAGGCTCGCTCTGCAGTTAAATCTGTGCTAACTTGTGTGCAGCCTTCCACGCTCCCTTACTGGGCCAACTTTTCTGGCCAGCCATGTCCTCAGGTTACCTGTGCTTTCTTTTAACCAGTGTGGTCTCATTAATTTCTTGCATACCTACCACCACTCCTTCTGTATTGCTCTTTGAACTGTGGTTTCTCCTGTAGGGAAGGAGCTTCATGTGCGTGGTTCTCAGATGGGTCTCCCTTTCATGCTGCCTGTTCAAAAGTGGGCACCCTACTCCAAGTCTGGCAGTAGGATGTGACAGTGCGGGGGTATTCACTTCCCTGCTCTGACTGGGCCTTTTGAATCATGTTCTCAATTATTTTTTGAAAAAAAATCCTAAATGACACCAGTTGTCCTCATGCAGGAAAGAAGGAAGATTCTGGCAGCCCAGCATACAGGACTCCCAGTAAAAATGTGCTGTAACAACTCTGGGTATTGGTAGGAACCACAGCTGCTTGCTATTCTAAAAAAAGGAAAGGAAAGGCTGAAAATAGCATAATCCCAGGAAAACTAGAACAATTGCTGTTGTTGAAGTCGAGTATCTAAAATGAACCCATGCTGGAAGCAAGTTGGGACTGCTAAAAGTAGTGAATGTTTAGAGATTGCCTGTTGAGGGAAACCTGCCTGCAACAGAGCTGCATTCAGTCTGCAACCTGCTAATTTTTGAGAGCTGCTTGCAAAGCCTCTTGGTAACACAAAGCAAAGTGCAGTAACCTCCGCTGTGATGGACCACTTACTGCCTGGGAGGCCCGAAAGCAAGCCTGAAAATGGGAAGGAGTACACCAGAATTGGCTCTGTCCTGGTCCTGGCAGGTTTCTTCTGCCTGTAACGTGGTGGCCTTCAAATGGCTGCCAGCAGGAAAAGGTCTTCAGGATTTTACAGTCATGAAGGTGGAGTTTTCAGCAGCTGTGTCTATGTGATCACGCCTCGTCCCTTGATGGTCACTTGTGATCTGCTGAGATCCGGGAGAAAGCAATGGGGGGATCTTCCCCCAGCCAGCCAAGCTCTGTGTCCCTCCTCCCCTGACAGTCCTGCTGCTTTCTCTTTAGAAATGGTTGAAGGCTTTCTCTATGAGAAAGATGCAGTTTTGGGCACAGGTTGTTCTGTAAAAGAAAATAGGTTTGTGTCATCTTCCTCTGCTGGGGCCAGCCCAACACGGTAGCTCCCTTGGCTGCTGCCCTGCTTTGTCTGCTCAGGTGTACTCACTCTCTTTTTGCTTTTCTACTCTTTTTTTTTTTTTTTTTCCTCCAGCCTTGGTTGCTGAAGTGATATGCTTTTTTCCTCTCTGTCATCATCTCAGTGAAAATAGTGGGTATGTGGTGGTTTGAATTCCCCACCGATGGCCCTGGTTGAATGCCGGGCTCCCCGGTGAGCAGCCCTGCTGTGGCTTGCTCAAGCCCCGAGGACAGTGCTGTACCCCTGAGAGCACGCCTTCTGCAGAGCTGTCTTACAGTCTCTCAGGTGGACCTGGGCATTTCAGATTTGATTTAAATCAGAAATAAAACTCTCAAATGCTACAGTTCTCCAAAAGGAACCGGAGGGCTGGATTTGGGACAGCTGCCTTTATGGCTTGGCCTGGCCACAGACCCCAATGCCCCGGTTGCCCATAGCCCCTGTACCAGTTGCAGAGTCCTGGATACGTTTGTATTGAAGCTCAATCCAAGACCTGTCAGATCTTTACTAAGCCAGGCTTTACTGAACCAACCTACCACTGTCTGCTAGCTGCTTCCCGCGCCTTGCTATTCCAGTGCAGAGCCCAGGCAGCTCCTGTATTTACTAGTTCCTTCCCCTGCACATGTTCTTCAGTTTCTCTTCCATTTCCCTTGTTGGTTGTTAAAAATATACTTGTGAAGGTCTATGTGAGTTAAGTGTAATGTACCAGGTACTGACGACCTGCAGAGAGCACGTGAAAGCTTTCCAGCGTAGCAGTCCTGTTTTGCTAGCAGACTGTGCGCTTCTGCGGGCCGCTGACGAATGCCCTGTCTCCCTCCCTTCCTGCAGTGGCTGAAGGATCCTGGTCCCCGCAATGAGAAGAGGACCCTTTTCTGTGACATGGTGTGTTTCCTCTTCATTACTCCCCTGGCAGCAATCTCCGGCTGGCTGTGTCTGCGCGGAGCCCAGGATCATTTGCAGTTCAACAGCCGACTGGAGGCCATCGGACTCATAGCACTAACTATAGCACTTTTCACAATCTACGTCCTTTGGACACTGGTAAGTGTCTGCTGCCGAGGGCCTTGTTTCTGTTCAAAAGAGAGATCGAAATACTGGCTTGCACTGTGTCAGTGCAGCCAGCAGTTTCTAACTTCTCTTGTGAGAAAACCTTGAGCTCTTTCTCTTGAACGTCCATTTAATTATCCTCAGATGGGAGCTGCAACAGTTGTTGCTGAGAATGAGAAACCACTTCCTGATCATCTGCTTTCCAGATTGACATGGGAACTGTGTTCCCCAGGGTGTCATGTACCCGGGTGCAGACATGCCCAAGTGTGGCTGGGGCTAGGTGGGAAGGTCTGGAGCTGGGGACAGGCAGCGGTCAAGCTGTTGTGCCTGTTCTTATTTTTGAAAAGAAACAAAAATTTGGTGCCAGGGTGGTTTAGGGGAAAAATAAAATCTGGAAAATGTTTGACCCCTAAATAATCTGCTGTCGTGTCCCTCCACGCTTTGTGCTGCCCAGCACAGGTTGGCTGTGCCCAAAGGAGGTGCAAACTGACTGTTGGGGGTCTCTGTGGCCCAGAACTAAACAAATTCCTACACAATATTTTTTAAATGTCAGTATCAAGAAGGGTGTGTGCAAGGAACACACTGGCCCTGGGGAGACCCCTGACTTCTCTCTCATACTGGGCTTTTGGACTCGAGCCCTGAGCCAAGGCTGGGTAGCCAGCCTGCCCTGGCCCACTGCTGTGGCTTTACAGCTGCACTGCCGGGGTTGGAGGCACTGGGGATTAGTGGAAACTCGCACTTGACACTGCGTGTTGAACTGATCTGTGCTGGGAAAGAGCTTCCTGCAGATCCCTCGCTTTGCATCTTTTTGGATGTGCTGAGTTAGGCAGCCAGGAGCTTGCAGCTTGGGGAGAGTCTGGAAGAGCAGAAAGCAAATGTGTAGCACATCTGTGAGCGCTGCCAGCTGAGAGCCCAGAGGAGCAGCTGGGCTGGGGAGCAGCTCCCTGCCCTGCTGCTCTCTGAGCCCTTGGGGCTGCCCTGGCCGTGGTCTCTCCAGAGGATCCCAGGCCAGGGACTTCCCTCTGTTTCTCATTCACTTCTTGCATGTTCTGTTGCTAGGTGGGTTTCTGGGTTTGGATCTTCATTTCAAAGCCCTGTATGTGCTCATGCCCTGTTAATACCCTTTCCCAGCTGCTTGCTGGGAACCACCATTTTGGGAAAGGAAGAAGTGCAGTAGCTGGAGGAGATGTAGCGGGACACCAAAATCCTGGCAGTTTTGCGGGCAGTAGGAACGCCACAGCCCATTTCCCTGCCATCCCATGCTCTGACCTCTCAGAGTAACAGCTTTCCCTGGAGTTAGGACATTCCTTCCACACAGACTCAGGTGCCAGGGGAGGGTGAGCTCATGCTGCGGCCAAGAGTGCCTGACCGGTGCTGCTGTCAAAACGTGCAGCAACTGCAACGCATCAGGAGCTGTTGAGTAAAGTCTCTGCTGCTGCATGTATGTGCTGCATAAGCTTCATTTCTGTAGAAAGCCAAGGTAAATTTGGAAACATTAAGAGGAAGTGCTTCTGTCTTCTCTGTCCCAGGACTGGTCTGGAGGAGCTGGAAATCTGGAGGAAATGGAACAATGGGGTTTTTTGGTTTTGGGTTTTTTTTTGTGAAGTAATGAGTCCTGACTAAAATGACTCTGCTTCTACTGTGCTTCACATTTCCCTGAACAGAGAAGGACATTAAGTGAAGCCGATTTATTCACATTTACTGTATTCAAGTGCAATTCTTCCGTGACACCATGGGCCATGTGGCACAAAGGGCATTACACGGGTGGGTGGTGACGGCTGTAATCGGTGTGAGGAGTGCACGAGTGGCTATGGCCAAGGTTGTGGGAGCTTTCCTTGAGGTTTGCACCATTACTTCCCCATTGATACTCTGTTTCTGAAGACTTCGAGATGAATTTGCTTCTTGTTTATCAACAAACCACCTTATTCCCACAGTTGTCCCTCTACAACAGGAAAAAGGGGAGTACACAGATCGATAAGCTAAATTACCTCAATGGCGTGGCACAGCTCCATTTCTCATAGCAGATGTCTGAGACCTATCCAGAAGTAATAGGAATACTGACTATTTCTTGTCAGATGGACTTCTTGGTACTTCCTGCTTGCCAGCTAAACGTTTCCTGTACCAAGTACAAAAGCTTGGTTTTGATGAGTGGGTGACTGGATTCAGTATTTAATTTTCTTCCTCACAATTTCTAGTAAAATAAATAGGAGGGAAGCATATGCTGACTTTATTCCTTTCTCAAGAAATTCTCAAAAAGTTTAATTTCAGAGCTAAGGAATCATCAGGAGCTATCAGAAAATCTGTAGTGGTGTTAATGATTGCAAAAGGACACAGCGGAGTCCAGCCCGTGGGGGAAGCACAGCTGAAAGCTTCCCCTTGCAGGGCTGCTCTTGAAACTGCCGGACCAGCTTATGCCTCTGGGCCAGGCTGGGTCAGGGCCCCCTTCAGCCTTTGCATTCTCGCCTGTCTCCCTCCACATGGACAAGTCTCCCAGGCCACAGCATTGTCAGAAGAAAATGAATCCAACCAATGTCCTGTTGCCATAGACCAAGGAGAGAAGGATTTTGCAAAGGGCAGAGAAGATCCAGCAGCATCTGTGAGATGGGAGGAGCCTGATCCTGTTGAGAATCCCTTGTTTTGCCTGGACAAGGTGCTTGCTTCAGCCCTTGGCTAGGGTGAAGGGGCGAGTTGTGGTTCCTCCCCACCACATCTCACTGGCCTGTTACTGAAATCCGGCTGAGCAAACACTGTCACTCTGTCCTGGTGCTGCCCAGAAAGCCCCTCAGGCTGTGCCATGCTCAGCCTGATGTTACCAGGAATTAATTGATTCGTTGTTAAAGGCTTGGGACATAGAGTGCCCTAAACCATTTCAGGGTCAGTGCTGTCTCCCTTGACCGGCGTTTGCTGGTGGATTGACAAGGAATATGCAGAGGGTGGATGGGTGTCTCTCACCGGCCCTCTGTGGGCTCCAGCACTTGTGACAGAGGTTTGGTAACCAGACTGATGCGTTATCACCCACCAGGTTTCGTTCCGTTACCACTGCCAGCTGTACTCGGAGTGGCGAAGGACCAACCAGAAAGTCCGCTTGATGATCCCAGCCTCACGGAGCCCTCACCCTGTGCCCCCCTCCCTCCTCTCTGCCAAGCTCCTGAAGAAGACTGCGGATGAAACGACTGTCTGAGCCATCCCTTGACCGCTGTGCCACGAGGGCAGCCCTTCGGGGCTGGCAGAAGCAGGTCGGGTGTCCCTGTATGCGCAGGAAATGTGGCAACTGTGGAGGCACTAGAAAACAGTCAACCCACCCGAAGGGACTTTGCGATCAGCATGTACTTTATACTATGGCAAACAGACAGATAATCAACATCTGTCATGTGAAATGTCCCAAAAGAGCCAGATGGCAGAATATGCCTGTCTGCAGGGACACTTTCCTATAACTAAGTACCATATGTGGAAAATATCTCCCTCTCACTATATATATATC